CCTCTGAGTCTGCTGGTAGAGGGGACTCCTTAGCGATCGCGTTCCCAAGTGAGAAGTCTCTGAGGCTTCCTGGCGGCCGACTGAACAGGAGCGACGCCCGCTGCACTGCCATTGCTTTGAATACCACTTAGCAGTAGTGCGGACAGTCTCGTATCTAGAAACTCCCTCATTATGATTGGGTAGGGACGTGGTATCCAGAGAGTAAGTTTTGCTCTGCCAATTCCTCCAAGGATTGTGTGGTGCTAACGAGACTGATTGTTCGCTGTGTTCAAGTCCCTGTCGGGAGAATTAGAGTCGGCTTGAAAAATTCCGATTATAATGTAATCTTGAAGGGACGTCATTTTAAATGCTTTTTAAGAAAATACTTGGGTAAACAAACTTGAAATAATTCTGTTTTGATTTCATAAATAGTAATTATCTTAAATTGACTGTGGATGCCTTTCAGAAACTTTCGCCGATCTTTTTTATCAGGACCAGATTTCTTGTTACTGAATTAATTTTTCATATTGCTAGTTTCAGATATTGTTGCTTCAGTACCAAAACTTACCAATTTGGACTTTAGATTTGGAGAACTGTACTTTAACTGTTTCTATACCACAACTTCTGACTTAACCACCTGTTCCCTGAAAGAAAGAGATCAAAATGTTTGTTGAAAGGTGTCCAAAATAGTTTAATTACTTGATGAAATCTCAACCTAATGACTATCTATAAATGAACATCAATCCCTGGTATGCACAAGCTTGAAGTAGTCTGTGAAAGTGGAATTAAAAATGTTAGCATGAAAATCATCGAAATCCATGCATAAATGGTTTTGAAGTACACATTTCCTGAATTTCTTGAAGGTTGTGTCTATATATTTGAAATGGAGTCAGTTACTGCCGTGACAGAATTTTCTAAGTGTCTGAAGTGACAGTTCCACAATGAAAGGGACACTTTGCTTTAAAAGGGAAAGTATATCGTTAGTGCATTGCAAATGCTCGTTTTGGCAGAACATTTTGTTTAATTAGTCACTTCAGAAATAATGATAAGTATGCACATTATCAATAAGACAATCTTCCCTGCAAATATTTAATTACAGAAGTCTGCTATAGTGATCTGTTCCATTTGTGTAGGAAAGCTTGCCTTTCCTGGAACATGATCCGCATCGTCATATCTTCTTGTGGGTGTTTGTCCTGTTCTCTGAAGACTGGATTCTTTTTTTTTTTTTTCTTTAACTCCCATTTATTTCTGACTCTTGAAAATCTGGCTCACCATCATCTTCCTCTCATAGTTTTTGTTAATTAGCTTTTCTTTTTTTTTTAAAGATTAATAAATCTTTTCAAATAAATCTTTCAAATAAATATTTATTTGAAAGTCAGAGTTAAACAGAGAGAGGAGAGACAGAGAGAGAGAGACAGGTCTTCCATCCGATGGTTCACTCCCCAATTGGCCGCAACAGCTGGAGCTGTGCCGATCTGGAGCCAGGAGCTTCTTCCGGGTTTCCCATGTCGGTGCAGGGGCCCAAGTATTTGGCCATCTTCTACTGCTTTCCCAGGCCATAGCAGAGAGCTTGATGGGAAATGGAGCAGTTGGGGCTCGAACTGGCACGTATATGGGATGCCGGCGTTAACCCTCTGCGACACAGTGCCGGCCCCTCTTTTCTTTTTAAATGTAATTAATTGATTTGTTGCTACAACATTCATTAAATTTGATTTATTGATTTTTAATCTCATTTCTAGTAGTGTTTGAGCAACTGGTGTCTGATTACCTTGGACTGAATTCTTGCTTTGCCAAGTGTTAGCCATGTGCCTTTGGACAAGTTCCATGTGTACCCTATGCATTAGTTTTATAATCTGTACGATAGGCATAATAACATTAACTTTCTTACATGTTGTTGGGATAGTTAAATGAGATAATTTTCAGGTAGTCTTGGATTTTTTTTTTTAAGATTTTATTTATTTAAGTCAGAGTTACACAGATCGAGGAGAGGCACAGAAAGAGAGGTCTTCCATCTGCTGGTTCACTCTCCAGATGGCCACAACGGCTGGAGCTGTGCTGATCCGGAGCCAGGAGCTGCTTCCGGTTCTCCCACATGAGTGCAGGGGCCCAAGGACTTGGGCCATCTTCTACTGCTTTCCCAGGCCATGGCAGAGAGCCAGATTGGAAGTGGAGCAGCTGGGACTAGAACCGGTGCCCATGTGGGATGCCGGCACTGCAAGAGGCTTTACCTGCTATGCCATAGCGCCTGTTAGCTTAAAAGCCAAACTAAGGAATTAACCTAGGTAACCCTCATCAGATGAATGGTTCAAGAAAGTGTTGTATAGATACACAGTGGAATATTACACAGCTGTAGAAATGAAATTCTGTCATTTCCATCAAAATGGTTGGAACTGGAGAGCAACATGTTGAGTGAAAAATGCTGGACACAATAAGACAAATTCCCCATGTACTCCCTTATATGTGGGAGCTAAAAAACAAAAAAAAATCAACAAAAAGGAATGCCAGTGTGTATCTGTTTTGCTGCAAATACAGTATGCTGTTAAACCTTTTAATAAGTATTTATTTATTTGAAAAGCAGAGTTAAGCAGAGAGAGAAAGAGGTCTTTACCTGCTGGCTCACTCCCCAGATGACCACAAAGGCTGGAGCAGGGCCGATCTGAAGCCAGGAGCCAGGAGCTCCTTCCAGGTCTCCAATTTGGGTGCAGGGCCCAAGCACCGGGGCCATGTTCCACTGCTTTTCCAGGCCGTATTGGAAGTGGAGCAGCCAGTACTGGAACTGGCACCCCTATGGGATGCTGGCACTCCTGGTGTAGGCTTTACCTGCTATGCCACAGTGCCAATCTCTAAACTTCATTTATTTATTTTTTCTTTTTTTTACAGAGTGGACAGTGATAGAGAGAGACAGGGAGAAAGGTCTTCCTTTTGGTGTTGGTTCACCCTCCAATGGCCGCCATGGCTGGCGCGCTGCGGCTGGTACACCGCGCTGATCTGAAGCCAGGAGCCAGGTGCTCCCTCCTGGTCTTCCATGGGGTGCAGGGCCCAAGCACTTGGGCCATCCTCCACTGCCTTCCCGGGCCACAGCAGAGAGCTGGCCTGGAAGAGGAGCAACCGGGATAGAATCCGGCGTCCCGACTGGGACTAGAACCCAGGGTGCTGGCGCCACAGGCGGAGGATTAGCCTAGTTAGCCGTGGCACCAGCCTAAACTTTATTTTAAATCTTGATCAAATTGGGGCTGTTTGTGGCATACCAGGTAAAGCCACTGCCTGTGACATTGGCATCCCGTATGGGTGCTGGTTCGTGTCCTGACTACTCCACTTCTGATCCAGCTCCTTGCTAGTGGCCTGGAAGTAGAAGCAGAAGATGGCCCAGCCCTGGCTGTTGAAGCCATCTGGGGAGTGAACCAGCAGATGGAGGATCTCTCTCCTTCTCTTTCTGTAACTATGACTTTCCAGTCCAGTAAGTAAATAAATATTTGAATATAAAAAATAAATCCTTGTCAAATTGTTAAGAATTATATACTACTATATTTTTAATGGTATTATGACTCTTTTCCAATTTATTTTTTTTATTTTTTATTGACAGGCAGAGTGGACAGTGAGAGAGAGAGAGACAGAGAGAAAGGTCTTCCTTTGCCGTTGGTTCACCCTCCAATGGCCGCCGTGGCTAGTGCGCTGCGGCCAGCGCACCGCGCTGATCCAATGGCAGGAGCCAGGTACTTATCCTGGTCTCCCATGGGGTGCAGGGCCCAAGGACTTGGGCCATGCTCCACTGCACTCCCTGGCCACAGCAGAGAGCTGGCCTGGGAGAGGGGCAACCGGGACAAAATCCGGTGCCCCGACTGGGACTAGAACCCGGTGTGCCGGCACCGCAAGGCGGAGGATTAGCCTAGTGAGCCGCGGCGCCGGCCTCCAATTTGAACAATTTTTTTTTTGACAGGCAGAGTTAGAGGGAGACAGAGAGAAAGGTCTTCCTTCCATTGGTTCACCCCTCAAAGTGCCTGCTATGGCCGGCGCACTGCGCTGATCCAAAGCCAGGAGCCAGGTGCTTCCTCCTGGTCTCCCATGTGGGTGCAGGGCCCAAGCACTTGGGCCATCCTCCACTGCCTTCCCGGGCCACAGTAGAGAGCTGGACTGGAAGAGGAGCAACCGGGACTAGAACCCGGCACCCATATGGGGTGCTGGCGCCACAGCGGAGGATTAGCCTAGGAGCTGTGGTGCCGGCCTTGAACATCTTTGAATTTGATTGTTTATAGCCCTTGCCTATTTTCCTGCTCTGCTGTGGTTTTTTAAATTTTTGTTGTTGAACTGTTTATTGACTGGAGCATTAAGCCTCTGAATATAATGTAAATTAAAAATATGTTATCTCAAAACTTTTAAGTTATAACTGTTTCATAAGCACCTGACTCAGAAAGTTTTGTAATGCTTTTTTATTGCTTAAAAGGAAGGTTTTCTTTAAATAGAATTAGCTTACCAATTTGTTGTAATAGCCTCTCATGTCTTTTTAAAAAAATATTTTTGTTATTTCAAAGTCATGGAGGCACACAGGGAGACAGAGACAGAGTTGGAGAGATCGTGTGTTTGATGGTTCACACTCCTAGGAGAGCCGGAATTGGTTCGATCTGCAGCCAGTAGCTAGGAGCTTCTTTCAGCTCTCCCACGCAAGTGCAGGGGCCCAAAGCACTGGGCCATCCCCCGCTGCTTTCCCAGGCCATAAGCAGGGAGCTGAATTGGAAGGGCAGCATCCAGGATTCAAATTGGTGCTTGTATGGGAAACCCATATCACAGGTGGCAGCTTAACCTGTGCCACAGTGCCAGCCCGTTTCTGATGGCTTAAAATACCACTAGCTTTTCTTTGGCATCTAGATGATTGTCTGCCTGTTACCTTTGTTGAAAACTTCCCACTTTCTCTGTGCGGAAAAAAAAAAAAAAAAGGAAGCAAGGTGTGCACCTTCTGTTCTTTGCCGCAGGAGCAGGTGTTGTGCACTTGTACTTGACACGGATCTGCTGTGCTGTCTCCGCAGGCCTTGTGCAGGATCACTCGGCATTCGCCTGCTGCCTTCCAGAATGTCATCGAGAAGGTGGGCCTGAACTCCGTGATCAGCTGCCTGGCCTCTGCCATCTGCAGGGTCCAGCAGTACATGCTGACCCTGTTCACCGCCATGCTGTCCTGCGGGATTCATCTTCAAAGGCTCATCCAGGAAAAGGTTCGACTTCGATCATTACCCGTCGCTCCGCTTTAAAATGCTGCTGTTTTCCCCTACAAGTAATGTCACCTTGGCAGAATTTCATTTTTCTCACCCCAAGGGACCTCTTTGAACTCTACCCAGTTTTTGTCCCACACATCTGAAGATGTTGTAAGAGTCTTTGGGTGATTAAAACGAAGTCCAGCCAATGGCTTCTGCCTGTGTGTCCCATTTCACTAACGAACAATGAAGCGTTTCCTGTATGCACGGGTTTCTTGGGCTTTCTCAGCCTCAGTCCTGCTCCCTGGGCCACGCATTGGTGTCACCTGGGAGTGTGTATGGGAAAGGCAGACTCTCAGGCCCCCTGCAGAGTTCTTGAATCAGAATCCACATGAAAAAAGAATTATTTGAGAGGCAGGAAGACAAGGAATGTGTGTGTGAGAGAGGGATCCTTTGCTTGTTTACTCTCCAAGCACTGGAAGTGGCTAGGGGATGAGAGGGTAGGCTAGGGCAGGAGTCAAGACCCAGGAAAACAACTCACACCTCCCACATGGGAGGTAGAAACCCAATGAGTCCAGCCATGACTACTACCTCCCAAGGTCTGCATTAGCAGGAAGCTGGAGTCAGGAGACAGGGCGGGGGGTTGAACCCAGGAACTTCAGTGTGGGATCAGGCGTCCTAACTGCTAGACCCAATGCCCAGATTTTACTTATTTTTATTTTAACTTTATAAAGATTTATTTACTTGTTTGAGAGGGAGAGACAGAGATATCTTCCGTTTGCTGGTTCACTCCCCAAACGGCCACAGTGGGCATTGCTGGACCAGGCATAAGCCACGGGGCTGGGCCAAGCAGAACCCAAGAGCCTGGACTTCCATCTGGGTCTCCAGTGTGGATTCCAGGGGCCCAAGCACTTGGGCCATCGTCCGCTGTCTTCTCGGACACATTCGCAGGGAGTTGGATCTGAAGTGGAACAGGCAGCACTTAAACCTGAGCTCAGCTTAAGCAGCCACACTATAGTGCAGGCCCCCAGTCTATAATTCAATGAGGTTGCTAGGTGATTGATTTTAACTTTATGATTTGAGAAGCCTTGCTTGAGAATATTATAGTTAGGTGAAAAAATATTTTTAAAAAGGGCCATGTTTAATGTTTGGAAAGCGATGAATCAAAGTTGAGAAGAAATTTTTCAATTGTGCAACTTTTTCTATTTTTTAATTTGGTACCGTGGAGGCAGTGTAGTGTGCAGAGTTCTTTAAACCAGTCACCCTCCGCCCCTCCTTTGTTTTTTGGTTTGGGAACAGGGATACATATTTCTAGTCAGTGTTTTGTGAATCCTGTTAAAAGTAATGGTTCTGTGTGTTGTGGAGTGGGATCCTCTAGGGCATGGCTATTCTGCATTAAATGCAACATGTTAAATTTTGCTTTATATCAAGGAAGTTAAAATTTCATGACTATTGTGAATAACTGGGAGATTTGCATAGTAATCTTGCTCCAAATAGAAAGCCAACCACCTTTTACTGTAACTGCTCTAATTTAGATTTTGCTAAGTTTGTACCTCAAAGAGATTTTTTCCCCCAGCCATTCATGTTTCCAGGTTTTGCCATTAAATTTTCTAAGTCATGAAATTAGGAAAAGTGACACTGGAGTGGCTTTGCTGTTGAAGCTGTGGTAAGAGGCCAGGAGATGTATTGGAGTTCCTAACCCTTGGCACAGGCATGCATTGATTAAGCTTCAAATACCTTAATTCACAGAAGCAGTAAAATGAGTTGCATTTGCTAATTTTTAGCTGTTTCATAATGTATGGCATTATTCCATGCATCTTAAAGAAAAGAATGATTGTACAATTAAGCATACAAAAGGCTAAATAATCTTTTGGTTTGGATTAGTATTAGTGCTGTTAAAAATCTGTTTTTTATTTGAGGTGGGGGGAGGAGTCCCATCCTCTGACTCCCCCCAAATCTCAGAGAGGGCAGGGCCAAACGAAGGCTGGAGCCAGCAGCTGGGAAGTCGAAGTCTTGCATATGGGTGTCAGTGATTCAGGACCTCCCAGGTCTGCATTGGCAGGAATCTGGGGTCAGGGGCCCAGGCCAGGAGTTGAACTCAGGTACTCTGATGGGGCACCTAACCATTGTCTGAACCAATAGGCCAAAGGCCAAAGTGTATTCACGTTGCAGTGAGCCAGACCCTCAGTAGTTTTCCATCATGCAGAACTGGAACTTGGCAATCATAAAACACTCTGGGTGTTGGTGTGCTGTCAGACGCTGGATTTTAGGCAAGTGTTGTGTTTCCGAAGGCTTCCTCTAACACCATGGTGGCAGGGGGAAGGAGGCCACTTCCAGGTAGAGGTGGACATCCAGGGCCCTGCTCGGTGCCTTTTGACACCCCAGGGGTACGGGAGCCACCCTCATTGCCTCTGACAAGAGTGGCAGTTCAGGACTTCCTTAGGCCTCCTCTGCTGCCACCTTTGCTGGTAGAGGGAGGGTTCCTTGTTCCTGTGTCCACTGATGCTGGTGGGATGTGGGTGGGGGTGCCTCCTTGCTAATGAAAGGTGGTGAAGGAGTAGGCTTCTCACTATGCTTTTTTTTTTTTTAAAGATTGATTTTATTTGAAAGAGTTACAAAGAGAGGTAGAGACAGAGAAAGAGGTCTTCGATCTGCTGGTTCGCTCCCCAGATGGCCGCAAAGACTGGAGTGCACCAATCTGGAGCTAGGAGTTTCCTCCGGGTCTCCCGTGTAGGTGCAGGGGCCCAAGGATTTGGGCCATCTTCTGCTTTCCCAGGCCATAGCAAAGAGCTGGGTTGGAAGAGGAGCAGCTGGGACTAGAACCAGCACCCATATAGGATCCCGGTGCTTCAGGCCAGGGCATTAACACGCTGCGCCACAGCGCCGGCTCCGCTCTACTTTTTCTGATACGATCACAGCAGAGAGAGAGAAGGGGAGGCTGCCGCTGCTGTGCCTGGGTGGGGCTCCAGGCTCCTCATGTTGGGATGGGAGTTCTGTCACTCTATTTTATCTGTTCTGATGCGGCTCTGCCGGCGAATGGTGTTGGGATGGCTTGTTGTGATCATGTGACATTGTCCTGGGCTTCCTGCTTGCCCTCTGCTGATGGCAGTGGGCTGTGGGTTTCCATGGTGTTCAGCTACAGGGGAGTATGTTGCTGTGGATTCATTTCTGAGGGGAGGAGCGTGGTGGGGGCAAGAGGCACGGAGTCACCACACAGACCCCGGGAGTCGGGTGAAAGCAGGCCTGAGGCAAGCAGCCTGCGGACTTGTTTATTTCAGTTGCTACAGCAGCTTATATAGCCAAGGCAGCCAATCCGGTCAAGGGGCAGTCTATGCCCTAACAAATCACAGCCTGTTGCAGGCAGTTTCTGAAGCCATCCAATCACAGCCTGTTGCCAGGCAGACTCCGCTGTCATGTGGTTTCCGAAACCATCCAATCACAGCCTGTTGCCAGGCAGTTTCTGTGCCAGCGGCCATCTTGGCATGGCCTTCTCATTCCACCACAGGAGTAGCCATCCCTTTCTTACTCCGTAGGCTTAAGCCATCTGGTTTTAGCTGTGTATTTATGTGTGACACCTGTTGGTATTTCCAGGTTCCTGGGATATGTGAAGCTAAAATGTAACCAAGTGAATGCATTGCCGTGTTGGTCCTCAGGTCCCAGGGTTGCTAGCTGGCCTGGTCTGCTCTCTCTCCACCTGTCAGTCTCCCTATGTTTGCTTATGTATAATGCCCAGAGTTTTTATTTTTTTATTTATTTATTTTTTTATTTATTTATTTTTTTATTTTTTTGACAGGCAGAGTGGACAGTGAGAGAGAGAGACAGAGAGAAAGGTCTTCCTTTGCCGTTGGTTCACCCTCCAGTGGCCGCCGCGGTCGGCGCGCTGCGGCCGGCACACCGCGCTGATCCGATGGCAGGAGCCAGGAGCCAGGTGCTTTTCCTGGTCTCCCATGGGGTGCAGGGCCCAAGCACCTGGGCCATCCTCCACTGCACTCCCTGGCCACAGCAGAGAGCTGGCCTGGAAGAGGGGCAACCGGGACAGAATCCGGCGCCCCAACCGGGACTAGAACCCGGTGTGCTGGCGCCGCTAGGCGGAGGATTAGCCTAGTGAGCCGCGGCGCCGGCCCTGCCCAGAGTTTTTAGTTGTACTTCATGGTAGCAACAGAGAGAATGGCATATTCTCTCTCTTCTCCTCTAGTTAATTAAATGTATCTCTGACAGCTCAATAATGTATGACAAATTTTAGTTTAAAATGCAAGGTTCTGTTTTTACTAAGGAAAAAATCTATCACTTATGGAACATTTACCATGCGCAAAATGCTTAGTGACTGGGGGAGAGACAGAAGTGGATTTGGAGTATGGTGAGCAGAGAGGAAAGGGCTGGAAACTTTGGAAGATGATCTTGACCTGGATCCTGGAGGACTGTATAGGGCTGTGATTGGCTTTCCTAATGGGTTACAGCACCACAGCCATTGTTTTATATTATTTTTTTATTTGACAGGTAGAGATAGAGATAGGAAGAGAGAAAGGTCTTCCTTCTGTTGGTTCACCCCCCAAATGGCAGCTACGGCCAGCACTGCGCCCGATCTGAAGCCAGGAGCCAGGTGCTTCCTCCTGGTCTCCCATGCGTGTGCAGGGGCCCAGGCGCCTGGGCCATCCTCCACTGCCTTCCCAGGCCACAGCAGAGCTGGACTGGAAGAGGAGCAATCGGACTAGAACCCGGCGCCCATATGGGATGTTGGCGGGCACCGCAGGTGGAGGATTAACCAAGTGAACCACGGCGCTGGCCCCTGTTTTATTTTAAGTTAAAGAATAGTGCCTACATTTGTCTACACATGAGTGAAGGGCTGGTTTATCAACCTTATTATGGCAAAGCTCAGGTTTTCTCCAAGTGTTTGGTTTGACAGACTGGCGTGAGTGGGAAAGAGGCAACCTGGAAACAAATAAAAAGGTTCTGGCTTCCTACTGGACGGAGAGAAGGAGCTGCACTTGTGGTTCTTTAGGGGGACCAATGCCTGTGTATTG